GCCTATCATCCCCAAACGAGTGGTCAAGTAGAAGTTTCCAACAGAGAGGTAAAGCAGATTTTGGAGAAAACAGTAAGAGGGAATAGAAAGGACTGGGCCGGGAAGCTGGATGACGCATTATGGGCATATCGCACTGCATACATGACCCCCATAGGTACTTCTCCGTACAGGTTGATTTATAGGAAGGCGTGCCACTTGCTTGTTGAGCTTGAACACAAAGCCTATTGGGCGATTAAAAAGCTAAATATGGAGATGGACTTGGCCGGTGAGAAGAGATTGCTACAACTCAATGAGCTTGATGAATTTCGATTGCATGCATATGAAAATGCCAAATTGTATAAAGAAAAGACAAAGAGGTGGCATGATAAGCACATCCAACATCGTGAGTTTGAGCCATGTCAAGAAGTTCTCTTGTTTAATTCGAGGCTAAAGCTTTTTCCCGTAAAGCTTAAATCTCGATTATCGGGTCCGTTTGAAGTGGTTAGTGTGAAACCTCATGGGGCGGTGGAGTTACGTGATACGAGTTCCAATATGACATTCTTGGTAAATGGCCAGAGAGTAAAACACTATTGGGGTGGTGACATTGCACGTCACAAGACCTCGATGGATTTGGTGGAGGCGTGAAGAACGTATTGCGTCGTGCCACGACGTTAAATCAGGCGCTTGTTGGAAGGCAACCCAGCTTTACTGCTTTCTTTTATTTTTGTTTACTTTTTATTTTATTTTATTTTTATTATTTTGTAGTATTTATTTTTGTTTTGTAGGATTATGAGCATAGGAAGCAAAGCCATTAGAAGAGTGCAAAAGCGAGCTAGATGGTGAGGACTAAGTGTGGAGTGCCCACACAAAGGATGATGCCTGGGGGGGAAGTCTGAGTACCTCGTGAGCCGTTATTGCTTCGGCCTTTGGCCTACCAGGGAGTTTCGTTTACCCTCTTATTATTTATAGTGTGCATTGAGGACATTGCAAAATTTTAAGTGTGGGGTGAGGAGATCGTTTGGATGAGTTTATGTGCTATTTTAGCTTAGTTGTAGTACTCATTCTTAAGTGTAGTAGCTTTTGTGAAAAAAAAAACGAAAAAAAGTAGAAAAATTGGACTTTTCCCGTCGATTGATCTCCTAGACAGTTTTCTTGAGGGATTAAAGTCTAAACAAAAATTCAAAAATATGTATTTTAGCTTTCTTTATGTAGTAATAATCCCCTGTGATTTTTCTTTGTGCCTCGGTTCTTTTCCATGGGATGTAGTTTGAACCGGGTAGTTTTTTTTTCCCGAGTAGATTAGGAATTTAGGAAATAAAAGGAGGAAGAATGATGAACCTAAGCGTCCTTGACTTGTTTCATAGTAGCATATTTATGCTTTGGCATGTGTAGTATCTCCCCTATATTTTGATATTAATCTTGATGCCTTTATATATTAGATAGTATGTTTTGTGACGACTATTTCTCGTTTTCTTGACTTGTGTTCACTTTGCGCTTAATGCTTAATATCTCGTGGCTCCGTGAATACTTGCATTGTTTGAGAGTCGGAATATGATCGTCCTTAGTGAGTCATGTGCCATGTGTGGTGAAGTTTTTGTGTAGTCCATGTATTGTACTTGTGTCTAGAACTTGCCCGGCATGTGAGTTGAAGCGAAATTTGAGGTGATGCTCGGTTTGAAAAATAATTTTAGGCTTTCTTTGATCTTTTTGAGCTTATTGCTTATCA